TATATATATATATATGAATAAATATGTAAGCCTGCTAGTTGGGTTGGATATTGAAGTGGAGTGGGTTAGATTAAAGGTATTATCTCAGGTTTAGGTTTGGGGGTTGTCTAGACTTAGTAAACCATTGATAAGACAATTCCCATCTTCTCAGTTGTGACTGGTTACATTGAGGGGGCAGTGATTTGACTATTTTGGTTGTAAAGCAGTCATTGAAACTAGGGTTATTGTGGCTCTGGGCATGTTGTACAACTGGTTTGTCTTTGTATCCAGTAGATACATCTTGTCTATGGCCATTCATCCTGGTTCTGAGGCTATTGGTGGATAGGCCTACATACTGTGCCTCACATTTGTTACATTGTAGTTGGTAGATAATGTTCTTCGTTTCACAAGTGTTGAAGCCTCGGATGTTGTAGTTTTCTTTGGTTGTGGAACTGGAAAATGTTTGGCTGGGTTGATTTATTTCACATGTTTTACATCTCTTGTTATCACAGGGATATGAACCGTTAGGGCGTGCGTTGTTTGGGTTGTTGTTGGCCGGGTCAGGAACTTTTGGGTGGACTAGTATTTTTCGGAGATTGGGTGGTTGTCTAAAAACAATGTTAGGTGGATCTTTCAAAAAATTGATGGTGTGGTTGGAGGCCTTGAGGATTTTGAAGCCCTCTTTTAAAATGCCATTCAATGAATGTAGTCCTTGGTGGTAGTCTGTGACAAGAGCAATGTTTTGGCTATTTCGTTTTTCATTATTTGGTTGTGGATGGTCTTGCGCTAAGCGGATTTGGTTCTCCACCAGCTTTCTAGGGTAACCCCTTTTTATGAATGCTTATCAATGGTTTACTAAGTCTAGACAACCCCCAAACCTAAACCTGAGATAATACCTTTAATCTAACCCACTCCACTTCAATATCCAACCCAACTAGCAGGCTTACATATTTATTCATAGTGCATAAAAGATAAACTGAAACTGTGTTTTTTGAATTCATACTATTGGCAACACTGACTCAACAACTCACTGGCCACCATTTTGGACATCTAGAAAACTATCTCTTCCTCTTCCTTAGTTGAAAATGCTGTCAGTGACAGTGAAATATTCTAATGTTTTGTGTATATAGTGTAAAGTTTTGTTTTGTGTTTCCTGTGCCAGTTTGGACTCTTTCCCATTCAGGTAAGCCTGCTATCCTCTCAAAAAATCCTAAATAATACGCAAGCAGGTTTTTTGTGACAATTACTCCTCCGAAACTACTGAACCGATTGACATGTTTTTGGTGTCATTGGAAAGAGCGTAACGTGAAGCTGTGCAGGAAACTTTCTTTTTAGGGAAATAATTAGAGAGTGAGGCCCTGGGCCCTTTAAAGTTTTGTATTTCTCCATAAGATTAACATGGTAATCAAAAAATGTTATGAAACTCCAGCTGTTGTCAGAAATAAAAAGTGAGAAGAAGTACATATGTTAATTGTAAACAGTCATTAAATTTGCTAAATTTAACAGTTTATTACAAACATTTACTGACTTTGAATGTTATTTACTATTTGAATTTGGGTTGGTGTAGATATTACAATGGAAAAAAGCGAGAGAGCCTGGATAAATTGATATACTAATAAGAAAACTGAATTAATTAACACTGTGCTGCATTTCTTAATAATCATTGAAAGACCCGATTTGCAAACTATGGAAATATAGGAAAGTCATAGAACACAACCAAGGAGAAGAAAAAGAAATAATGTGTTTTTTTAAATTTATAATCGCTTCTAAAGTCATCAGAAATTATAACTGTTAGTCGTTTTAAAATAACGCCTGTAATTCTTAGCAATTGCTCGAATTCGAGCAACAGGGACCCTAGTAATTGTTAAATAAGGCGATGGCGAGCCATTACATTTTGAGCAAGTAAAGTATTTGTTCACGGACCGTTGTAAAGGTTAAATAATCGACTCGACCTTGGAATATTCCACCCGAGTTTTATAACCAATGTTAATGTTATCTTGAATGGTTGTGTTGTATATTTATAATTTTACTTGTTATAATAGTGTGTTTAATTATTTTTAAATGCTCATGGGTTTGAATCATTTTACGCCTGGATAAAGCATTTTTGACTCTTGTCCCCCTAGATTTGTTACTTAGACTATTTACTTTTAAGCCATAGCTAACTGTTGTTTTAGGGGTTTGTACCTTTATTTGACGCCTATTAATTATGTAGGTGTTTATTTATGTCACGTGATTTACATTTTGACTTTGTCTGATACATAATTTGATCAATTTGGGCACAGTTCTTTGAATGATACAGGGATACATTATCATCACAATTCTTTTGTTCAATTTCGGAATCTTACACTTCGGAATCACATGGCATCGCCCGGGTCACGGACCCGAAAGTGCGGCGCTAAAGTGAATTTGTATTGCTATGCGAGACCGGAAGATCAATTCTGACTCCGTCTGTTGTTTTTGTTAGGTTACTATCTGAATGTGTACAAACAGATTTTTGGTATTACATTTTGATATCGATTATTCAATTTTAATTAAAACTAGTACAAAATTACGTTTTTCTTGATTTTTGGCAATATTTGCAGCCGATGCGCAACCGGAAGATATTAATATACAATACTATTATTTAAATATGAATTTCTTATTGTCTTGTAGATGGAATTTTAAACTATTACATGTTAAAAATCTAAAATTTAAAAATTGTAAACATGTCTGATAAAAAATGAGTTTTTAATTTTTTTTCAAACTTTAGAGCACATGCGCGACCGGAAAATAACAACCAATATTTTAAATATTTTTACACTGTTTTAGTATTAAAATTTAGCAACTTTTCCGAGATATTACAACTCGAAAAAAAATTATTTTTTTTTTCTACTCACCCTAATGAACGTGCAGGGCAGGATAAACTGAAATGAGTTCGCAAACCAGCAAGATCAATTCATGGGAATACGGTGTTGTGAGATTTTAAAGTTTCACAAAAGTTGTTTTTTCCCTAATTTTTACCCTTATAACATGTAAATGCCCAATTTTCATTGCAGCCATTATGTAGAGCCAGGGCCGGATTTCCCAATAAGCCCGGTAGGCCCGGGCCTATGGGCGCAAGCTCCCAGAGGGCGCACGGCCGAGAGGAAAAATATTTTTTTAATATCTAAAAATAAAGTAAATAGCCATAGCTTAAAATATTTTGCAAGTTGATAAAAAAACTCTTGTTAATAAAGCATTATAATTTTGAAACTCATTGGGAGAAATAGTTGTTAGAATATTTAAACTATTTTTCAACATTACGCATCTATTTCGTTACAACATTTGTAACGAACATTGGTTATGGCGTAGGCTGTATGTTGTCGAGCGCCCGAGCGGTACGCTTCGTATTGCCACTGCACTGCCACTATGCTGGCTCGGGCTCGGCACTACTGATCAGAGTGATTAGGGGCGCATGCGTGTTACCACCCTCACCTCACATAAAGAAAATTAACTAATCTTTTGATCAGTTTACAACAACCTGCAGGGTCAAATTAAATTATATAAAACGTTTTGTTGAATATTAAAAATACGATAAGTTTACCTTTAAAATTTAATAACGAAAAAATATTTATCTGAGTTTGAAACAGGCTTTAGAAAAATTTAATCTTCTCCAAAGCACCAATAATGGTGTCATTTTCTCCTCAGCTCAGACCTGAGGATAATTATGGTTGGCCGGACTATTGCTTTGTTTTGCTATGCAAATATAATCTGGATGCAGTACCACCATAGATTAACTATAAACTCAAGTCGCCTTCTTACCATATTGTTAATTCTAAATATTGTTTATGACCTATTGTTTATGTTTAGATCGTTTTATTTTGGACAAACTAGGTTTTAAAAATAACCTCAATAAAAAGAATTGATTTCAGCTAATCCCTAAGGATGACAAATCTACTAAAGGAGTATGTTTAATCTATGGTATCACATACTGTTATGGAGTTCATGTTTTGGGGCCTGAAATTGGAATCAATGGACACGCTTTTTTGTAGGAATGCTCTGTACTGTGTGTTGGTTTTTTTTCTTTCGGTCCCACAAGCGTGAGCAATTGCTAAAAGCATAAAATTGCCAAAAGTGTTTAAGACGGCATTTTGTTAAGGCTAACCAAGACAATTCTTCAAAAAACTTGTAATGATAAAATTCTGACGATGAGTGGTGTTCAAGCAATTAACATAGGCCTATGCATGATATAGTTTTTAATAAAGGTTTGTAGAAAAGAAAATGTGACCAGAATAGGGGGCGGAAAAACTATTGGGCCTAGGGGCGCCAAAATGCTAAATCCGGCCCTGTGTAGAGCTTTAAACTAATTTTGTATATTGAGACATTGTTGTATAATTAAAGGTTACTGAGAAAATTCCAAAAAAACTGTACATTTAAAATTCCTACGTCATTCCTATGGAGGAAAATAAAACTGTTGTAGTTTGCTGGTTTATGGTTGATTTTGGTGAAATTTGGAAAATTTTTAAATTTTATCCGATAGCCTATTAACATTTTTTTAAAATTTTCCTTTCCCCATAGCCGCAAGCCTAAGTATTCTTTAAACCTAATGTTATTCAAACGGGGAATGAAATATGACTCATTTATGGACATATTTTACTTAAAACAAAAATTTGCTTAGTCCGCAGGTTTTCCCTGGTGTGGGTATTTAATATTTATTTATCATTTAGTCTTTATAAAAATATTTCCATAACCACTCGTACTCGTACAGTAATTATCATTATCATTCGAGATGGGGACGCCACCTAGGTGCATATTTTAACCTAAATATAAGTGAAGGATGAGTGCAGAATAAAGTTTGATGCCTTTCGTAGCTTTGTTACTGACTAAGGAATTGCTGTTTACTTTTCAACATCAATTATTAAAATGCCTATAATTAATGGCAACTGGGTCCGGTTTTGAACCATCAAAAAGCTATACACTTTTCTCAGGATCGATCTGGTGACCTTTTGATTAATATCACTATATCAGCTGAGCTACCTTACATGTAATGCTGTCTCCTGCAGCTATGTGTTCTGGTACGGAGACCTCAACTTTCGTCTAGAAGGTGACAGTTCACCAGCAGAACTTGCAGACACAGTTGCGGCAAAACAACTTGACAGACTCTGGGAGAAAGACGAGCTAAGTAGAGTACGAGCATCAGGTGAAGCATTCAGTGAGCTGACGGAACAACGACCTACATTCAACCCTACCTACAAGCATGAGTTTGGCAAGACTAAGTACAGCAGTAGGTAAGAACTCGGGTCTTTTCCAGTCTTGTGCTTCATAAACCCTAGCAGCCTTTCTCAATTTCAATTATTGCTGTTAACTCTTAACCACTTTGATAACTTGGTGTAACATATTTTTACACATTACTCAGTGAGCAGCTGGTTTCCGTACTCCATTTAGACCAGAGGGACTGGTAAAGTCAGTTGGATTACAGTAAATTTACTGATCACTGGTATATGTAACACATTTTCAAAAGGTAGAGAATAGCATTCTTCAGTACGTTCTAAACAAAACTACAAGATAAATATTAGGTTGATTTATCCAGGCATATTACACTTTCACAAATAAATATTGGAAAAGTTTTAAAATGTTTCTTTTAAAAACAGTAGATAACCTTAATTTAATTCTAAATTATCTTTAACATTTTAACATTACAAATAACATTACATAACTTTAACATTACCCCAAAAAAAAACTGATGTTAAAAAAATACCTTTTATACATTTACTAACTATTTACACTTCAACCTTATCCTCTTTAAAGTACTCTCCATCGGAATCTATGCACTACCCCTATGGGGTTTTCACTGTCCAAAACAATTTTTTAAGTCTTCTTTTGAGATGGCCACCAGCTCTTCCCTCCTTTTAGCGAATTTCCCATATAGGGAATAAGCTATTACCGTAGTACTCATGGTAAAACCTGGACCCGGTACCGATTTACTTTTTGGTTTTGAGGTCCCTAGAGGCCAAAAACACTGTCCGTTCAAATTCATATATATCTTACTAATATTATAAATCTGAAAGTTTGTGAGTTTGTGTGTATGTTTGTGTGTATGTTTGTGTGTGTGTGTGTTGCTCAATCACGCATAAACTACTGGACGGATTGGGCTGAAATTTGACATGATGATAGCTCACATTCCCGATTAACATTAAAGCATATTCTTATCTCAAAAACCCTTTTGGGCTCCGCCCCAGTGGCTCTGTAGTTCCCCATGTTAATCTTATGATTTTTCATATTTAAAAGGAATTAATGAATCTTAACAGCTGTTTCAATTAACACGTTCGCTGCTACGGACGTTCCGGAACGTCAGCCGGGCCACGGCGCCAGGAGCTAAGAACGTTCCAGAACGTCACCGTTCATTGTTGTTTAACGTTGCTATGGATAAGCCAGCACGTCACAAGCGTTCTATATTTCTTTGCAGCTCGTACGGACGTACTTTTCTGACAATAAAAAATATAGTTTCCCAAATCACCACCAGGGTCGTTTGGAACAGGGCTTTGTTTTACCTCTTTCCTGCTAGATAGCGACACTACTTTACTGACTGTAACCTGGGTAGTGCTGCTATCTATCAGAATCACTTAGTACTATATCCAAAGCCAGTTTTATTGCAGAACATTGCCATCCAGTATAACTACTGTTGTTTTTACTGTAATTCAGTGTATCGGTGGCAATGTCACGCAGCGGCCGAGCGTTAGTTCAGCAACTGGCGCCGTCCCGGCATCTAGCGCTCAGCAGCGAACGTGTTAAACAAGTTGGTTCTGTTCTATGATGTTAAATAGCATAAAAGTTACAAGGATTACCAACAGGGTGCAGCACTATTATTTTTTTAAATTTATGACAACAGCTAATTTCCAACCAAACGGTGAGTGAGCGTAGCGAACGAACTTCAACTTGGAGGCGAGTTAGCGTAGCGAACGAGCTAACCTGAAGGCAAGTGAGCGCAGCGAACGAGCTCCAACCTAAAGGTGAGTGAGCGTAGCGAACGAACTTCAACCAGGACGTGAATGAGCCATGCGAATACTTATGAAGTTAAACGGGGCGAAGCCCGCGGGTACAGCTAGTATGTATATATATCTAGTGGCTTGTAGGGACATAAGTCCCTAAAAAGCTTGAATCTAAAACAAATTATTGTAATCTTTAAAAAAACTCAGAATCAAATTATCTATGTGTCAGGATAGATATCCCAGTACAACATATCTTTTGTGTAAAAAAAACAAAAAAACAGTTTGTTGTTTATCTTTGTTTGCTTTTGTTGATGTTATTTTCAATAATTAATTTGAACGACCCTAGAGGTTTAACTTTGATAAAGGCAGAAAACATGTTTGTGAATAAATATTAGTTTACTAAGGTAGCTTTGGTCTTTTGGTTAGTGGTGAAAAAAGGCTTCCCTGATTGAAATATTGGAATTTGTCTTCGTCAAAAATGAAAAGGCAAAAAAGTGTGGTGAGATAAGCTTATTTCTTGGTAAAAACCACTAAATTAGCACCCGACCCAGTTATTATTTCTATGTTTATGCTCATTTTTGTAAAGGTTTAACAAAATTAGTGTAATGTAAATGCCATTGACAGAAATTAAACCCTAAATGTCTTTCTGATCAACATTAAAAAACTACTATTAGCCTAGTATAAGTATATGTGGTGGTAATTCTTGTAATCGTGCGATTGACTATACATATCCTATCAAAAAAGGGCCTAATCAACATTTGGTTACTAACTATTTTGCGACTGGTTAGAGTTCCATTGCCCAGTTATAGAAACCAATCACAACATGCATATTTTTGGTTAGTTTTAAGCAACGGAAATTATCTCTAGTTTTTACTGTTATACTTAGGTGCTCCCTTTACTACCGTGCATGCTAGGCTATATTATTTGAACCTGTACCTGGTTAGTCTCCTCTAAACAATATTGTTTTTTCCTCCCATTGGAACTTGTCAGTACTTACTTACTGAACGAATAACTGTATGGACCCCTATTTCATATTTATTCCAAAATTGTTTTCTAAGAGGGGCCTTTGAGGTTATTCCACTTCATAAAAAATATTGATTAAACTCAATAAATCTCATAATTTATTGATCGAATCTCATAAATAAACGTGATTAGTAAATTTACAAAAGAGTGTGTCATAAATATTTAACATATGCTTTGAAATAAAAACAAAGCAGATACGTTTTGAAATCAAAAGAAAGCAAAAGTTCTTAGTTTATTCTTGAATCGTTTCTTTAATCTTGAAAACAATTGATTTCAACTTTGACGTAACTAAAAAGTCTTAATTTTATTATGGGTAACGTTATCCCTGGTTTTATAGGGTGAGGTTCATAATGTCCAAATTTCACAAACTCCAACGTCTAAAATATTAAATAAACAGTGCGTTTCATAACCTCCAAATTTCATAAACTCCAAAACTATAACTTTCAAATAATCACCGATTCACAATGTCCAAATTTCACAAACTCCAACGTTTAAATATCAAATAAACAGAGCGGTTCATAACCTCCAAGTTTCATAAGCTCCAACGGTACAGTCTCTGCCAGAAGTTGCTGCAGAGGTTGCCGTGGTTCGGTATGTAGGCGCTACACGTTCTACTGTTGTAGCGGTGTAACACGAAGTATCATTGTTTCTCCGTAATTGCTTTCTTAAGAGTATAAGTATATATTCTTAAGAGTTCCCATAGTCCGATCATGCTGGTTCGCGAACTCGTTCGAATAAACGTAGGTTTACACGTTTGTACCAAATTTCATCAAAATCGGATGATTTTTGCTCGAGTTATCGCGCTAACGGACACACATATAAATATATATATAACTGATGGTGTTTTTGGTCTCTAGTGACCTCAAAATGAAAAAGTAAATCGGTCCCGGGACCAGGTCTTACCATGAATACTACGGTAATAGCTTATTCCCTATAGGGGAAATTCGCTAAAATGTAAATTTGATTTGCACATTGTGTGCTAACACATATTTGAGCCACACATCAGAGTGTTCTTCAATCATTAAAATGTACGTATAATCAGTAGTTGAGCGCTGGCGAACGGTGCCTGCTATCTGACTGTGACAACCACTAGAGAGACTTCTGGCCCAGACTGTACCGTTGGAGGTTATGAAATTTGGACATTATGAACCGCTCTGTTTATTTAATATTTAAACGTTGGAGTTTGTGAAACTTGGACATTGTGAAACAGTGATTATTTGAATGTTATAGATTTGGAGCTTATGAAATTTGGAGGTTATGAACCGCTCTGTTTATTTAATATTTTAAGCGTTGGAGTTTGTGAAATTTGGAGTTTATGAAACGCTCCCGTTTTATACACAGTACATTGCAGAATTGACTGGCAAATGATTAATCCAAATGTAATATTGCTTACTGGCTTACTGATAAATCACGATCAGCTGTATTGAAGTACCGTAAACAGAAATCAGCAGTAAATGGCTTCTAATGCTATTCTTATGGAGAACATTTTACGTTATATCTAATTTTGTGTAAAAATTTGGGGAATTTCACTATTTTTCCCACCATCACGGGTTCGAGACCTTTAATTTGAGACCTCTCCCGTCGTTCTACGACTTTCCAGTCGCCCACAATTTTGACGCAAAGAATCGGCTTATGTATTTAATATATATATATATCTGTATATATATATATATGTGTGCCCGTTAGCACGATAACTTGAACAAAAACTATCCATTTTGACCAGCATGATCAGACCATGTGAACGGGGTTTTATGGGGGATTTTATGGGTTAAAAATTGGATTTTCCCATTTTTTCCAAACAGTTTTGTAGAGCTTAAAAAAACAAATTATTTAGTATACAAAAGTATCATAATGCGCCTAATAGTTACGAAGAAAATTCCAAAAATTGTAAATTTAAATTCCCTATGTTATTATTAATACTAGCTGTACCCGCGGGCTTTACCCCGTTTTACTTCATAAGTGAGCTCGTTCGCATGGCTCAATCACGTCCTGATTGAAGTTCGTTCGCTACGCTCACTCACCTTTAGAATGGAGCTCGTTCGCTGCGCTCACTTGCCTTCAGGTTAGCTCGTTCGCTACGCTAACTCACCTCCAGGTTGAAGTTTTTTCGCTACGCTCACTCAGCTGTACCCGCGGGCATTGCCCCTTTTTACTTCATAAGTGAGCTCGTTCGCATGGCTCAATCACGTCCTGGTTGAAGTTCATTCGCTACGCTCACTCACCTTTAGGTTGGAGCTCGTTCGCTGCGCTCACTTGCCTTCAGGTTAGCTCGTTCG